ATCCTTCCGTCCTTCTGTCCTTTCCGTCCTTCCGTCACACTTTTTTTCGCTCTTCAAAGCTAAGTTTCAAAGAACTTCCAAGATATTTTCATCAATCTTCATATGCTGATAGATATTGATGAGAGCTATGCAACTGCATCAACATTTTTTGACCTTGACCTTTCCTTTGACCTTGACCTCACTTTTCTTAAATTAGTGTTTAGCTCAGTTTTAAACATATCATTCAAGATGGTGTTATCAAACTTCACATGTTGATACAAACTTGCACGTAACTTCCAGTAATTAAAGATTCAGGGGTACCGTATATAATTTTTGCCCTGTCTGTTTGTCTGCAAAAATTCTAATCTTGCTCATAACTTTTGAGTGGGTGGGGCTATGCCTTTCATATTTCACAGTGTATTTCTTATGACAAGAACCTTCTTTTGGTACCACCAAATTGACCTCATGACCTTGAAGTTTGATCCACTTTTTAAAAAAAATCACATTTTAACCTTGGCCATAACTTTTAAACAGTTGGTGCTAGGGTTTTCATACTTCAAATGCGTATTAATTGTGACAGGACCTTTCGAAGCTAAATTTTTTACCTTGACCTTAGGGTTTGACCCACTCTTTAAACACTTTAACCTTGGCCATAACTTTCGAACAGTTAGGACTAGGGCTTTCATATCTCATGTGCATTCATGACAAGACCTGCCTTTGAGTACCAACAGTTTTGACCTTTAGACCTTGCCCTCCAGACTCTAATTGGAGTTTGACATGCATTTGAGAAAATTCAACCCTTGCTATATAAGCTCTCATATGGGGGCATCAGTCTTTCAAAAACGCATCTTGTTAAAATTGCAAATTTATTGGAATGAGAAATTTAATGACTATCAGTTTGACACTGCCATGAAACGTAACAACATAGAAAATAGGGAAATGTTATTTTGATAATAAGATGTTTACTGCTTACTTATAGATAGCATTCATGAAGATGAGTTTCCAGATCTTTGATTCTATATGTTTGATTAATTACAGGCTTTGACAGAATCACTTGATATCAGCAGTCTGCAGCATTTGTTGGATAATATTCCTCCACATCTACCAAAGCCAGTGAAAGCAGATCCACCCCAACAAAAGTATGATCCTTCAAAAGAGAAACATTGATTTAAAGTTAATTTTCATGGGCAAAAATGTTTTTATTCTCCAGCACAATGGTTCTTTGTCTTGTTGCTTATTCACATAATGCTACATGTATTACCTGTAAATTTAATTCTTAAATGCTTGGGGAAAATTAGAAGAAAAAAAAACCTTTTTTTTTTTGTAGAATATTAGGTGGGCCAAGTATCAAGATGTTGATATCCCTTCATGATTGTAATCACCAAGTCTTTGTCTGTCTGTGCTGAAATCACTCTTATTTATTTAAGGATGGAAACTAGGGTCCATTAAAGTCTACAGACTTCATATTACTACATTATAAGATGGAAAATATTTTGTAGAAGCCTTCTTGCTCCAACGTCATTTACAGTTTTTGAATAGCTATTGTAAAATTTTTTTGTTTAGTACATCAGCATATGTTGAAGAATATATGTCTCAAATATTCATAATTCCAAAGGGTTAAGGCTATTGATACAGCTATTTTGGAATTTAAAAGAGTTGCTGCACAGTTTCTGTGTTATAATTTCTTAAACTGTCTTTGATTACCATGTGAACAGCATGATCTAAGGTTGAAGTGGTAAAAAATGTATTTATTTCAACACGAAGATTTCACATTCACTATGCAATGACCCCTACCCCCACCCCATTCCTCAAAAAAAAATCTGGGACCATTTACTGAAAGGACTACAGTGGATAAGATTATTTGTGTGACCATACTTTAAGGCCCAGTGTTCTAGTTTAAGTGAAGTATCTAATAGATCTTTTTGTTGGAATTTTGAAATAGATCCTGTGAAAGCCGAACAGTTGTAGAATCCTCTTCCTCCAGTGATAAAGAGAACATCCCAGATAAAAGGAGTCAGTCCAGAGGAAGGAGGCAAGCCAAGGCAGTCTATATCCCTGCCCTGGTCTACATAACAGTGGAGGAATTCGAGGAGGTCCCAAAGTAAGATGTACCTGTGTTTAAAATGGATATAGAATCTTTTTTATGTTCCTTGAGACTTTCAATTGGAATTATTTACAAACTTCATTCACATGAAACCAGAATCTTTAGAACTGTGTAAATCTTTCTCATTTTCTAATAATTCTAAATAATTTGACTGAAAAAATGAAATATATTTTGTTATCCTCAATGTAAATTAAAAAATACATCTTTTATAGATACATGAAAGGGAGACTGAATTACAATCAGGTAAACACTGCCATTGATGAGCTAAATAAGGCATTGAGTGAGAAGTACAAAATTCTAGGAATGAAGAGAACTACGCTTAATGATGCGAACAGGAAGCGATACGAGAGATACAAAGAACAGGAGTCTAAGGACACCAAAGGTGAGTACTGACTAAGTGATGGCTGAAATGCATACGGTCGTCCACTGTCCCTGAATATTGTGGGGTGATGTTGCTATATAGACTGGGTAAGGGACCTTGGAGTGGGAATTTTGTAGGGTTTGTATTATTGGTATTAAGCTTTGGAAATATAGAAGCTTATAAGCTTCAAAATCGGAGGTTTAGACAAAACCATTTTTTCTATAATGTGTTCAATATCTTAATGCTCAAGTGTTTTTAATATCAATGTTTGATAATTAAGATGTATGAATACCAAAAAAAATGTTTCTAACAGGAATAAACCAGGACTGGGTGTATAAAATGTTACTCCCCATAAATAATATTATACATGTATAAGAAGTAGAATTCTAACTGAGCTGACCCTTTCATTGTGTACTCTCTATGCTCAAATACACTAGGCTTGCCCTTATCCTAACATTTTCTGAAATAGTAAATTTTTGTTTGAATAGCTTTCCATTCCAGAGGTTTCAAATTTTTTTGGAGCAGGTCTGACATATTGTATATTTTTATCCACTCAAAATGAACCCAGATTTGATGATATTGGTGCACTTAATGATTGACTCTTCCTTGTACTTGAGCATTTGAAATGCTTATAAAAATAAACTGATTTTGTAAAATTTTGAAATTTTCAGAAGTGCAATTTTCACTTTACCAAGCAGGACCAACTATAGATTCCAGCAATGAAAGCTTTCTTAGATAATTCACACTAATTTAAACCTTATATGGAAATTGAACTTTGACAAGAATTAAGAAATTTATTAAAGGTACTTGGACACAGATTTGAAGTTAATATTTTCTCTATAATATTACGACTTATATATTTTAATAGCATTTCACACAAAAATTAATTAAAAATCTTATTTCATGTAAAAGTTATTAAAGCTTCAAATTTTTTGGTGGGTTTGATTGACTAGAGTTGGGTATTGCGAGTGAAAACCATATTGCGATATATTGCAATATTTTACTTTGAATATTGCAATATATTGCAATATATTGTAGATTTTAATTATCATAAATAAATTCGAGCAGAATGTTTGAAATACTGTCAAATTCAAAGACTATATATTTGAATTTATCTTTAAGTTGTAAAGGGGGAGGAGGGATAATACATTAATTGCACACATAATTATAACACTTTACTTTTAATCAAATACCAGGTAAAATAATAACAAAATGAACCCCCATGGAGAATTTTCAAATTAAAAAAAAAGTTTATACAGAATATATAAACTTTTGTCTTTTTTTTATTATTATAATTTTTTTTTGGGGGGGGGGGTAATGAAGTAGCATGAAATGCTATTCAAGATTAAAACAATACATACTATATGGGAAAAAAAATTTATTGTAATTACTTAAAGCCAGAAAGAAATTTTGACTTATTTTTTGAGTGTTTTGGTGTTTTAGTCTAACCCGACCTAATTTCACATCAGGAAATGGCCTGTATCTAGTGATTTAATAAATATGCTCCTGGTATAGCATGAAGGTGTTTAAAATGGCCTGAAAGTTATAAAAAAAATAATTAGAGCAACACATCTTCAAGTTAAAACACGGATGACCATTTACTTGTAATATGAACATGTATATTGAACTTGACATTTCATCCCGATGTCATTCATGTAGATTCGATGCGAGATTTTGAGAACCACAATACACTTGGTATACACCCTGTAGAAATGTTTAACATATTATCTTTCTTATTAGTTTTATTTTAAAGTCTTATAATTAATTATAAATCATATTTAAAGTAAGATATTTAAAATTGCAACAGTAAATTAAACGCTCTCTCTCTCTCTCTCTCTCTCTCTTTTCTCTCTATCTTTCTCTTGAACTCTTTCTATCTCTTTCTCTGAAATAAGTATTGTTTTGGTGAAAAAGCCTGAGGGAGTTTTTATTTCAGCAGTTTCTACAATGAAGGAGGTTTTTATATATTTTTATATATATCGTGAAATACCGGTATCTGATTTTCATATCGCGATATATTATCGTGGTGGAGAATACCGCAATATACCGATATACCGGTAATATTGCACACCCCTATGATTGACACATCCTTGCATTTTCACATATTTTAACTTTATTCTTAATCCTTAGGAAAAGTGGCAATCTTTTTGTGTTATTAATTACCTCAGAAAAATATTAGGTTACAAAGAAATCACAAGTGACAGTGTGATTATAAACAAAATAGGACTTGATCGAGATATCTTATTGATAAATGGTTATTTTTTTCTCACCGGAGAGCACTTCATAGTGGATACTGACATCAAGGAATTTACCAATTTCAAACTGGACAGTGTTGACGATCAGTGTTAACAATACTACGACATTGTGGTCGGACCAAAGAAATCCGGGGAGGAAGGCTCACTCGATACGCGTGTATAGAAGTCTACTAAAACAGGCGCGAATCTTCAATTATCAACTGATTCTATCTTGTTTTATATGCAAAAAAAAAATGAAAGAATATTGATACCGTTCATAAACTGATCAATACCATACTGTGATCTTGAAACAATTCAAGGAGAGATAACTTTTGTGTGTACACTTTCATCAATGTTTCATTGTCTTCCTTTACCTAAGCTCTGAGCAGAATGACAGTTAAGACATCTTGTTTTCATCTCCTTTTCCTTTTCCTGTTTGTTTGTTTTTTTGTCCCCGCTTTCGCGAAATCTCAATCGTCTGTTCGTCTTTCCGTCAGTCTGTCCATCCGTCACAAAAACTTTAACCTTGCCCATAACTTTTGATTAAGTGGAACTATGACTTTCACATTTACATTTGTATTCCTTGTGACAAGACCTTTCTTTGGGTACCACCAAAGTTGACCTTTTGACCTTGGAGTTTGACCCACTTTTACACAAAAATTCTGAACTTTTACTTTGGCCATAACTTTTGAATGGTAAAAAACTAGGACTTTCATATTTCACATATGTATTTCTTGTGGCAAGGCTTTTCATTGGATACCAACAACCTTGACTTATTGACCTTGACCTTGGAAATATCTGAACTTGTGAAAAAACTTTAACCTTGGCCATAACTTTTAAACGGTAAGGGATAGGGCTTTCATACTTCACATATGTAATTCTTGTGAGAAAACCCTTCATTGGATACAAAGAACTTTGACCTTGGAGTTTAACTTTAAAAAGAACAAACATTGACCATACCTTTAAATGGTAAGGGTTAAGGCTTTCATGTTTCACATATTTAATCCTTGTGACAGGACCTTTCATTGGATTTCAAGAATGACCTTGGAGTTTGACCTACTTTTAATAAAAAATCTTTGGGTAATGTTAAATTTGCATTTAAGAAAATTTTAATCTTCGCTGTGTTGCTATTAGGGGTCCTCAGTGTTTCAGAAACACATCTTGTTCCTTATCTTGAGATATGGCTTTCATATTTGACATTTGCATTACCTGTGAAAAAAATATTTCCAAGCATGCGATGATTTGTGACCTATTGACCTTGACCTTCAGGATTGATTTATATATTTCTAAATGACATATGATAGGGTGTTCATATTTGAGACAATATGTCATAAAAAAATGACATCTCACCCACAAAGACACCGAAAGCGGGGGACCACAATTCTTTGAATTTACTCTTTTTTTTTTTGGTCAAAATTTGGGAAATAGGCCATAGCTTAATTTTTCACACCTTAATTGCGAATAATTCCAAGATCATTGGATGTCTTTATAATTTATTTGTGACTCCATTGTTATTAATCTATTTACAGTGACCCTTATCTGAATATTTTTTGATTGTTGACAAACGTATCAAAAATTGAGTGCTTGAGAAATCAAGATTAATGCTTATCAATAAATAATGGCAAGCTACTTCATCACTTATTCGTTTTGGGATCCTTACTTTTGAATTTGGGCTATTCGAAGGGGAGGCACAGATGTAGAATACTGAAATAGGGTAGGGTTGTTAATTTCGACTGCTCGTATTGATAGAATACATGTACCTTAAAATAGTTTGTTTATAGCCTTTTGTTTTGTGTATGTGTAATTTTAATTTTTATGCAGAAAGAAAATGCATTTTTAATAAATAAAGTCAATAATAATTTTACTTCTAGAAATGTAAATAGGTTCTTCAATGGAAAATTACATCCAAGAAGAAAATTTATCACCCAGAATTTACAGACGAGTATTTTTTAGCCACTGAGAGAAATTATCAAATCATCCACCAACAAATATTAGCCTCGAGTTTCTTTCATTGAATACAAAGTTACATACTGTTGCTACAACATGTACATGTATATATGTGTATATGTCTCTCCTTTTTACATGCAGTTATAAAATGTACCTCTGATGATTTAGTAGATATGATTATAAATACTTTATGTTCCTCATGTACCATGTATGGTTTGAGCAAATAAATTGATTGATGCTTCTAGTTTGTCCCATTGTACCAGTCAATGTTTCAGATGCTGCAATTTCAGCAAAGGAATGACCAGGTTTACTGGTTAACATTGTTGGGGCAGGTTAAAAGTTTTTGGTGCAATTTTCATTTCCAAGTAACTATAAGCCCTAGGTTGACAAAACTTGCATGGGATGATACATTTCACGGTCCACGCTTATGGACTTGCTACGGATGCTGAATCTGACTTTCATTTTGTGATATGAGTGAACAGGTTAAAGCTTTTGGATCAGCTTCATTCTTAAGTAGGTATAAGCCCTATGTTGAGCAAACTCGCATAGATGATACCACAGGCCTTTAGATCGCTTAGAAAAAAAAATTGAGGTGTTGAAAAAAAAAATTTTTTTTTTTACACACAATTTTTTTTTCAAGCGATCCAAAAGCCTGTGGATGATATATCTAAGGATGCACACTGATTAGCTTACTTTGGATGTTGAACATCCTTTATTGCTCTTGAGGAGAAGTTTGTTACATATGTAAAACTATGATCACCCATAGTGGCCCCACTCTACTCCTGGTAATCAAGATATAAACAAACTTGATTCTAAACTACTTGATAATGATTCCATTCCAAAACTAGAAGTACTGTAAGCATTGTGCTCACTAAATGATACCTCCTCCTCCCATGTGATTATAATGGCAAATTCCATGTTTTGCTCTGGGAGACCCAAAATAA